TATAATTACTTTAATTGGTCATTATTGAGAGTGATGTTCATGCTTCAACACAAAATGTCTATGCTTGATTACTCAATATATTAAGTCTATTCTGGTTTCCTTTTTGGATGATATCATTCCAAAGCAATGACTCCATAATCATGAAATTTCTCAGACTGTTAATTTTCTACAGAAGGACAGGAGTGCCAATGTCAACATTCCCCATCTAACCTGCAGGACAACCCAATGATTCCAATCCAACCATTACCAATCAGCACAAAAGCTAGTTCCTTTTCTGGTTGTCTGGTCCGACATTTGCCTGTGTTCAGTTCCAGGCCCAATTTGGAAAACAGATGTAGGTAGTTGTTTGCAGAGCAAAATATTTAAAAACAGAACAACTAATTGCATAGTAATGTGTATTTTAATTACAGTCAAGTAAACCATTGCCATGATGTGACCGCAGCGGTCAGATGATATCCATTCAACCCTGGCTTGTGAACCGACTTCATCAACGTGTTTGCATTTCTGTGAAGAAATAGGAAAAATTACCCACACTATAAAATTTAACCCTCCTCTTATTCTCTCTCTCACTTTTCCTCCAACTTTTTCCCATTTCCTCCTAATATTCCACTCTTTAGTTTCTCTGTTCTGTTTCTGTTTTTCTCTTGCATTCAGTCTTGGCCTTCCTGCTGTCATTCAATGGATGGCTATGGCTAATCAAGTGTACTTTGGGGATCTGCAGAGAACTTCTTTGTTTTTAGCTTGCTTTTTTTGGTTTGTATTGTGTATTTTTTTTTTACAAACATATGGCCTGAATGCCTCAGTGAGAAAGAACTATACTTGTTTGTTGTGCTGATGAAGCATTTCCCTTGTGAAAGTTTGCCTGCTTGATGTGCAGAGAGGAAACTGTTTTGTGGTTCATACTTGTTGAAAGGTAAATGATGTCAAGAGCATTAAGATGTCAAGAGCCTGAAGCTGAAATTGTACAAATTTAAAAGGGGTTGTTTTTTGTGGGTTTTTTGCAGAGTTGCGCCATCAAACAAAGGATGTCAAAATTCTGTGTTCAGTGCAGATTTTAAAAAGGACTCACAAATTCTTACCAAATTACACCCGAGTTTCTCTCTGTGCACAACATATCAAAGTGTAAATGTTTTTTTGTGCTTTAAGTTGTCGACCTTCATTGTCATCCCAACTCTTACAGGAATTAAAACCTTTGCCTGCTGTTTATCCTTTTATTAGAATACATTTCTAACTGTTCTTTAGCTTGGACTAATGGGGCATTCCATAATACCTTTACAAGCTACATTAGCCACTGTTAGCTGTTGTTAGCAATACCAGTTTGTAATGATGCATTATGTGGTATTTTGCACATACAAACGCTGTAGCAACATGTTGATAGATAGATAGATAGATAGATAGGACTTTATTGCAGACTCAAGGTCCAGACTCCGAACAACAAAAAAACAACAAACAATAAAAACAACAATAAAAAGTGATAAAAAATAAAACCACCACAAAACAACAACCAGTCCACTACTATCCATTTAAGAGGCAAGTATACCAGTGTCTCCAGAGTACTGATGTATATCGCATGTCACTATATGCAGTGTTAGTCAACAATAAAACAATGTGGTTTTCTGAGCTATTCAAGCGACAGATAAATTTATACATCAGGTTTCTTAAAACAGCTGATAAAGTACTAACTCGTAGTGACACAAACAATTCACTGGCACTCACACATCTAGGCCTCAATAATAGTCTCAAGGCATCATTATAAGCCACAGTCAATTTCCGAAGACTGCCTTTTTTGTAATTAGACCATAGGTGGGCAGTGTACAAAGAGGAACAATATGCTCTAAACAGAGTCAATTTTACCCCATCCGAGCATGAACCAAATTTCCGTGCCAATAGAAGTTGGACAGTACATATTGTGTGAATGACTGTTTTAATGAAACACAAATAAGACCTAAGTGCTAATAAAAAAGTATATTACTATATTTTAATGCTAATGGGAGGAGCAGCCATCTTGGATTAGGAGGTCAGGGTTGGTGAAGTTCTTCTGAGTTGAAAATTCGATTTCTGGGGGTGTTCCAGTTGAAATTTCTGACTGGAAACTTGGAAATTCCGACTTCTGGCTGAGGCTGAGAACTGAAGCAAATAAAAGTGTTAAAATCTGTAGTTCCTCGAATGGCCACAAAAAGGGAGTCAAACTCCATAGGCTCCCATGTTAAAATGCCTAATTATAAACATGTTGGTACAAAAAAAATTTTGATCTCTATAACTAATTCCCCCTTCCATGACAACTGTACGGGGGGTGACATTTTATATAACTCGCCTGTTTAAATTATATTGAAGCTAAAAGTTACACATAATTAAGGGTGTGGATGCTTTGAATGACAGGTGGGAGGGTCCCACCACAGGTGGCTGGCCACTAGCTGTCTAGTGAGGACCACTCACGCACCACTTCTTTGCCTATTTCTGTATTAGATGTAGCAGGTGGAGTGAAGCGCTACCAGTATGGCAATGGCCACACTTGAGCTTCAAGACCGCTGTTCAGAAAAACAATGGGCGATGTCATGGTGGGTTTATCCATCTTTTATATAAAGTCAATGGTAAACATAGTGTTAAAAAAAGCTATAAGACACTTGTTACCTTATTAATTTGTTAGGGTTAGTATAACAAGTTTTTTAGATGTGTCACACAAACCAGTGCTCTTTTTTCCCTGTACCCCACTGCACTTTGCTGGGCACTGCAGTTATACACCCACACAGCCCTGTCCATACTCAGTCCCTCAGCAGTCCCTGCTTGTGCCTGAACAATTTATAACTGCTAGTGGACAACAGGGACTTATCTCTAATATCAAGTTATGGGACTTACATTACTCCTTGTGCTATAATGTTTGTTTGTCCCACTTGTGAAATAGCCTTAGAGGGGGTGTTATTAATCTCCCAAAATTCTGTGGAGTTTATCTTTAATTTGGGAGTTTGGGTTGGGTCTGGAAATGTCGCTGATGTGGGCTGTAAAGTCCAGAGAGACATTATATGTGAGATAATGGACTAAATAAATGAACTTGACACAGAATTTATCGGTTTTTTGAAATTCACAGTGAAGTAATATTGGCAGGGTTGAAGGAATATTGTTTACTAAGAGCAAGATAACTTAGTGCACATCTTACAACTCATCTTTCATCCTTATCCTTCTCATAATATAAACTTTTATTTACTCTCTCCTGGAGAACAAGCTGTACTCTGGTTCCCACCAGCTGATAGACCCTTTAAAAATAAAGAGGTCCAGCGTCAGTGAAGCTGAAGTCAAGAAGCTAAACTCACAAATCTGCTTGACCTTGTAAGATTTATAGCCTTCCGATATGGACTCTCAAATGACCCTGCCAAGGGCTTTGAGGTCTAAGGTCATGGGTGAGAGCAGAAGAAGGGGAGGTAGGCTGCTGATAGGAAGGTGTGAAGAAAAAAGCTAAGTGTCAGCAAAAAGCTGTAGAGGTGTCCAAACAATTTATTCTTTCATGTCTGTAACCCTTTCCTGCACTGATGATGTGAGTTGATCATTTATCATCTCACTGGTGGGGAATTCAGAGTAACGGTCAGGAGGAGCTGGGCCGGGATACTACAGGAAAGTAATTCTGATGTGCAAAGACACACACTTCAAAGTATTCTCATCTCACACTAGAGCTATATTTACTCATGAGGCCTAGCGTCTTTCACATCCTTTGAAACCTGTTCAGTCCATCTTCCCCATGACCCCAAAGACCCACAAAAGCACTGTCTGGTCATGGTTTGCTTAGAGTCAGAGTAGCTGCCAACACGCCACCCTCCTGTCACCATGGCAACAATACAGTCTGGATACACTGCGAATAACTGTCTTGCTTGTCCAAGTAAGTACAATAAACTAAGACTCAAAATAGAATAAAATGCTTTCTGCTCCATTCTTTACTATACCTAAAATACAATTTTATTTTTTTTAATTGTCTATGTGTGAAAGCTGCTCAACTATGTGACTGTGTTATTTTAAACATTTCAATAATAATTTCACTTAATTTGTAACAATATATTCAATAATAATAATAATAACAACAACAACAATATATTCATGCCAATTTTTAACAAAAAAAGTGAGAGTGATGACATCATTTCCTGTTGCTACTTTAGCTTAACAGAAAAGTAACTGTTTTACCCAGGAAATTGATTGCAATTATATTCTTCCTGGACTGAACCAATTTTTTTTTATTCCTCATTGTTAGAAGAGTCTATGAGGATTCAGGAAATACCTTCAGAATTTGGGTGAGTCTTATGAACTGACGGTATGGGATTAAAACGTTCAGCAAGTTTCGATTCTGAAACGCAGATGATTATCTCTATAACTCGAGTGTATGTAATACAAGAGACTCAAAAGTTGAAGCTACTTTAACAATTAAAAAGTCAACCAGAGGCAGCACTTTCAACCAACTGGAATGAACACTAGCTTAATTAGCTATAGCTGCAGCTAATACATTCTGCCAGCAACAGCTGTCATTTCAATAAATGAGAAGTCTGCGTTTGATTACAGTATGTCTCTGAAAGCAATGAGCCATTGTTTCGAAAATTATAAAAAATTTTGCGTGGTAGCCTAAATCTTGTACCATCAACTACCCTCATTCTCTGGGCCAGAAGCTGAAGTCTAATCATTTTCACATTAGTCACAATAAACAGAAACACTAATTGGATTAGAACATAAAAATAGCCAAATTCCTGACCACCACTGACCATAATCCATGTTTGTCTGCAGTTAATTGTGAACAAGGGACATCTGTTTCCTACTGATGTTGGTCACAGACATTGAAAAGATATGAAAAAAAAGAGAGAACAGGGAGAATTGTTTAAACTCCAGGACAAAAGTCCTGGACCCCTTTTGATGCAGGTCACTCTGCAAGACTCAATGCATGTATGTATGCATGCACGTCTGCGTGGGTGGTTGTGCACGCTTTATAAAAACCCATCCCATCTACCCCTCTCAGCCATCTGAGCGCAGCTGGTGAACAGACATCTGAGAAGAGAGAAAGACAAAGACATTTAGGCAGAGAAAGAAATAGAGTGGGGGTAATAGTGAGGGCAAAGGTAATTCTGGGTGAGACAGATTTATATACAGAAATAATATGGGACAGATATCTGGAAATGGATACAGCTGTGTTTGAAAGTTCAGTTTCCTTTCAAGTGTTAGATGAAAGCTTCCTTGGTGACATGCTTAGTGCTTAAAGAATGATATAATTTATTCTTATTTTGCTCAGATTCACTAAGAGTTGAGTCTGCAAGGATTAGAAGGAATTAGACACTCAGTTTTGGATGAATGTGCAGGTGCATATATCACAGATTTCCCTGTAAAATTGGTCAGTTTTAGTTCATTTAGCATTACTTCCCCTGTCAGTTTTGTTTATGTGCATGCTATTTCAATTGGAAGAGAAAGTGAGTGGCAGTGGCTGAGGCTTAATAACTCCCAGAGACACTAAGATGCAACAGAAGAAAGTTGCTACACATAATGCCTTTAAAATTATATCACAAAACCACACACATAAACAGATAATACACACCTCTCTCAGTGAAAAGCAGCAGCTTACAGTGGATTTGTTATGGATTTAGAGTGCATGCTTTGCTATCACTGCCATGGAAGACTTCGAGCTGAGACCCATCCAGAAAGAGGATTCAAAAAGAAGGAAAGAAAAGGAAATGAGACAAGACAAGACCATTTGAAATCAAGAAATGAACCTCAAAACAGAAGATCATATAAAGTCAACCACAAAAATTAATATGAATCTAAAGAAAGTATTTATGTATATCCCTTCACATTTTGCACAATCTATTGTGTGGTAGATAAAATGTTCATCTGCAGTCATTAAATTACACTCAGTAACCCAAAAAAACAAATTTATTAAAAACTGAAAAAATACACAATTTATTCAGCTGCATCAATGCAATAAAGTAAAAAAAAAACATTGTTACACTGGGAGATGTGTTCTGTTAATATAATTAACATGGCCACTGCTGCCAGAAATAATCATTAGCTCAGAAAATGTGCATTAATCCACAGCTTGAAATAATTACCAACTAATGAACTACATGATCCTATTTGAGTAATGTTTGGCAAAAACTAAAAACTACAGCACCCTGGTGTTTTAGGAAATTACTTTAGGATCTTGCCTTAGAAAATGAAACCATTAAATAAATTTTTAAAGATACTTGTCTTCAGTAGGAACAAATGGGCTTAAGGCTGAAAGCCATAAACAGGTGGACTGATACATACAGTAGTTCATGTTGGTCTTTTCAAGGCATTTGTTTATGTTAAGAAGAAAATTGAATATTGTCGGCCTTGTCTTACAACTTCTCCATCTTTTTCTTTCACTGTCAGTATCTTCCAGATTATGATATTCAGCAGTCCTTCCCATTCGTGCTGGCATGAACGTTCCCCACATTCGTTTTGCATTCCTGACCATCCCTCTTGTCTACTAACAAGATACAACAGAGTGCTAGCTGTTGTGAAGACACAAAAATATTGCAGTCTTTCTTCTCCCATATCAGCTTGCAACTAATACCTTCCCTCAGTACATGGTCACAATTTGTGTTGTCATCTGCCAGTATAACAGGAATAATTTATTGCCTCAGAGAATCTTTATTCCTTGCTTTGATGAGTATACTGGAAAACACGACCAGAGTCTTACTGAGTGCCAGATAACTTGAGGGTGGAAGACAAAACACTACAAAAGGATTAGATTTAACATTTTTGCAGCTAGAGCCACATCTTTTTAGTCCAGGATACCCTCATTTATATAAGCAAAACTGACGTATTCAAAGCCAAAATGGTTGCCTTAGGTAGGCCAAACACTAAGGAGCAACACAAATTGGTGAGTTTGGGCCATGATGGTGAGCCATTTTGCCACAACACAAAAGATCTACACATAACTACACATTTTGATGTTCCAGGCCATTTTATTTGTTCAGTATGCTTCATCTGGTTCTCATTTAGAGACGAGTGATTGATGTGGTTCAACACGTGTCTGTGTTACTGGAGGAGTCGGGAACTATATCAATAACTGACTTTTTATAATATAATAAGCTTTACATTCTGAAAAAGCTCCAGACCTAGAATGAACTTTGTATGAGTTATAGGATACAGGGTCAAATTTAAAGTTCGTCTCAAGCTTCCTGACATGGAAAAGTTGCTGATTATAGCACTCTATTCATCTAGTATTTGCATGTCACACTAAATTGAAGATGACTGCAAAACGTCCCACACGTCTTTGACTAAATTGCTTTAACAGACACAAAATTACTGCCTGTCCACAAGCTCTACCGACTGATCAAACAAAGACGAGGCCTAGCTTTACTGTAGTTAGCTGGGGAGCTGCCATATGGTTACTGTTTCAGTCCAGGAACCGGCAGCGACCACAACGCAATACGCCTGCCTCAACACCATTACGCCATCAGGTGGAGTCAAGTAGACAACTACTTATCTGAGTTGAGGCTCTAAGAACAGAGGGTGGTGTAAACATTGTAAAGACCCTTAAGGCAAATTTGTGATTCGTGATATGGGGCTTTACAAATAAAGACTTGACTGAGATCTTTAATGGGCTTTGAAAATGCATATCTGATGATAAAACATGTGACACACTCATGGATTACTTTTCACACAGCCTCGAATTTGGTCAGTGTTTAGTCTTTCATGCATAGTACTTGTATATGATTGAAGCAATGCACATACCACCACTGGTCTGGTAACTTATCAGAAAGAATACAGGAATTTTAGTTACAGCAGACGTCTGCGATGCAATCATCTGATTTTATCACAATCTCTTCCAGGTATGTGAATGTGTGTGTGTGAGTGAGAAAGAGAGAGAGAGAGAGAGACAGAGAGAGGGAAGGAGGGAGAAAGAGAGACACAGATACACACATGCATATATAAAGACAGAGAAAGACAAAAAATATATAATATAGTATGTACAGAAATTGATATGACAAGTGCATTTTGTGAATGTGATTTTATGTTTTCTTTTAGTTGTAGCTTCATTGGCTCTTCACTTTATTTGTGACTTTTTCTGCCTATACACCTTCTAGTTAGTATTTATGTTAATTTATATAGTTTTCTTGTTTTTTATTATTATCATCCCATTTTACGGTATACACTGAATGTCCATCATGTCTGTGGTATTTAAAGGTATTTATTTGTGCCTCTGTTCATGTATTTTTGCTGCTGTGATGCTTGTAAAATTGAGTCACTGGAAATATATTCTGATGTCACAAACAACCAGCATGTTTTGTTTCACTAGAAACAGATGCCTTCTTTCAATCATTTAGCAATCTCGGGGAAAACTCATGGGAATGAAGTAGACTTTGTCATGACTCAGCTAAATGCAGCTTTTCCTCATATCTATTCCCAGGTGGCTGTGACGGCAGAATGTGAACAAGCATGGAAACACTAGTCGCCATTAACCACATCAGATCTCTGATGACTCACCCCTTAGGAGGCTCAAAGGGATGTCTGGATGGTGTGCGGGTGCGTCTGTGTGTGGGTTTATGGGCATGTGGTTTTGTGTTCTCCTCTGTAACAGCAAGCCCAGTGTCCTTGGTGTCTTGAGTGGAGACCTTAAGGGCATTTGAACCTTGGTATTTGTGAAATTTTGCTGATGGGAGGACCTATTCCACAGCATTGCCAACCATCTCTCCTTAGAAATTGTATTCTCTCTTGTCTGCCTAATATATTCTGACATTTTTTACAATCACTATATAAAAAAGAAACCTAGCCCTTTTTTTTGGTGAGAAAAATCTTGGAATGGAAATAAAATGAGAACCAAGATGCCAAACTGTGTGTCTACCTGTGGAAACTTTTCTTTTTCTAAATCCTCAAGTAAAAATGTTTGTTTCACAACAACATCAACCACTGTAACCCACACAGACAGACAGCTGTGTCTTCCAGGGGTCTCATACCTAATCAGCAATCAATCAGGGCTGGTATTGGCTGAGGTTGTAACCTGATGTTTGTAATGGGAAAAATTACAAGCTTCCAGTTCAGCGAGACAATAGTTTACTTATGTGTTCACTGTCATAAACATGTACTGTATGAGTGTAGGTTTTACTAAAGGCTAATACTGTATTTTTATCTTTTACATAAAATATATTGTGGTTTTTGGAAACTTTTTAATAAAATGGACCACTTTTGAATTACGTTACTGTTTATACTTTCTAATTATGAGCTCATTGGATGTAGGGAATAATCTAGCATGTGTCATTTTGTAAACATCTCAACAGCCAAATCAAAACCAGCCTTTTCTCACAAGGAAACAAGCCATACTGTCTTCACAAGTACTTAAATCCTCACTGCATCCTTTTCAGAATTTGCATAGGTTTCAAAGATGGTATGATATGTTTATTGCATTTTGATTTCACACAACAAAATATATCCTACAGTAGGTAAGGACTTTTTTTTAGGATAAACTAATATCTTCAGTTCCTACTCATCATATGTGCTTTAGCTCTCAATGCAAAGCATCTTACCATTATCATCATAGTTTGTTATCATCTGTCCATAACCAGTTATCAAATGTGCCAAAAAGTAAATATGCAGAGTAGCCTATGTACAAATGCATAGTGTGGTGACAAAATGCCAACATGTCTCAAGAACACTGCTGAGAGTGTCTGAAGAGTCTACAGTCTAAAGCAGCTCCAATTTACAGCCATGTAGAACCACATACAGTCTAACATAGACAGAGCTTAGACTCACTACTGAATGGAATATTCAAAACAAACATGAGCCCACCTCGAATGTCAACACTTAGATATGTGCTCTCAAACACACGTACACAGACATATATAAACATGCACATAGGTATGTAGAAACACATTCACATCACTACAGTATAATAAGACAAGGCACTGCTCCCTCATTTACTCTCTTGCTGTCACATCACATTTTGAAGGACTGCAGTTCTAATGCAACAAATATGCTGAACATTAAGCTAAATATTCCAGGTATTTTTAGAAGGCGTGGTTTGTAATAAGTAAGCAGAAACAGCACTGAGATCCTGGAACAGGCATACTCAACTCAAATAAAGGTAGACCTATGTTAGGTACACCAAATGTTATCTGTTATAGTTTAGCAACTGCTATTAATTATGACACAAGGAAAGGAGTAAGTATACAGAGGCACAACGTCTGCAGTGAGAGAGGAGGAGGCTGGGGTGTATGGCTAGGTATACACAACACAGGACTTGCCCTCAGGAGGTCTGTATTCAATTCTGGTGTGTGGTTTGTGTCTTTCAAAAATTTTTGTCCTTAAATAAAGCATAACTAAGTAGCTTTTGTGCCTAATCATAACTAATTGTTTTCTGTGAAACCATGACCATTTCATAATTGTAGCATCATATTTTTAACAGTTTCAAAGACAACAGAGTTCAGTAGCTAGCCTGCTAACTAGCATTGTGTTTATGGCTGTTTCCATGATGACAAAGGTACATAAGGCTTAGCAGTGGGACATATAATCCTGATTTTGGCAGAGTTGTTATTCCTCCCGCAACCGTAGGAGCGCTAAGTAACAATACACCACGATGGGTCATATGAGAGGGAAGGGACAAGCAACCATATGGGTCGAATAAGTTGGAGGACTTGATGATAACGTGTACACTCAAATATTTCACAGTACATACCATATGTGCTGGATGGGAAGTGGGCTTTTGATGAACAATACTGCCCAGGAGCTAGTCACAAATTTGAATTCCAAGTGGCTCCTGAGAGCGGTGATTCAGCTCCAGAAATGTCTCTGAAAAACAGAAAAATAAAATACTGAGTCTTTGGAAAAAATTGCTGGCTTTGTATTTGCTGAGAAACGGGCACTCCACCAATTTCACTCATAAAAGCTGTGTTGTACAATGTCCTCTGCTGTACAGACTGCAAAGCCCCTTGAGAGAGAGAGTTGAAATTTGTGATTTGTGATATTGGTCTCCAGATCAAATTTTATTTCTGTATTTCTAGGGGAGCTTTCTTAGAATATGATCCTAATGATATCACCAGGGTCATCAAAAGGTTTGACCAAAAAAAAAAAACAGATTTACAAACCAGGGGTATGAAGTTCAAAAAAGGAGGGTGTTGGACAATAGATTTTTAAATATTTAAATTAAATTCTGAGCTTTTGAATTAATTATTTATCATTCACTTTTTTCTTTTACAGGGTGTTACTAAAATCTACAAAAAAAAGGCCAAATAGGTCAGCTCAAGTAAATTTAAATTGACAGTGTACCCTATCTGCCCATTAACTATGTCTCCATTACAGACTTATTGGCAGAGCTGGTCCTGAACCAGCTGTAAATACAATTAGTGACCACACTGTGCTGGAAATGCCTCATGTTGACTCCTGCTTTCCAGGCCACAGTGGCAGACCTTCTCCACTGGCTACACTTCAAACTTCTTGTAACACTAAAGCTGATCCAATAAGTCTTGTTTTGTGCAGCAAAATGCAGTCAGAAAAGTGACTGTACTAGGTGCCAGTGAGGAAAAATCCTCGGAATCAGATTTACTGCAATAACGCCAAGTCAGTCAGCAAAGTGTAAGTGCTTCCAGCTAACTTTGCCTCAGGAGAAAAATATTTTCCCTGAAAATATTATCATACCCTTACTGGTACTAACAACCATGCTACTCCTAAGAAGAGTGCACATTCATCACTATGTTTGAGCCCATAAAGTGGGTAATGAGGAATGTGTAATAGTGTTTTAACAGTATGTAAAGACATTGTTAATATAAAGGGAGTTGAATAATATGCGGTGTTTGGTCATAGAGGTTATTGAGGGCCATCCGCTGCTGTGCTTGTGTTGAAATTCAGTGTGCTGTGAACTATGTTGATATCCTCACAATATCGTCTTAATAAAAGATGGTAACAGGCATAAAGTACATTTTTTATTTCTGAGAATTATTTACAGAGACACCTAAAGAAGTACTCACATCACTCTGTAAACTCAAATGAATTAACTTCTAAATAATATGTCTGTAACAGTTTTTTTTAATACACTAATGTGTTCAGTTTGTCTGCTCCCAAAATTTTGTTTAATTTTCATTATAGCTGTAGACAGGGCATTGCTGCATACTCAGACATCTTAACCTGTATAAATAAACCTACCCTGTGTAAATGTGCATGTGTGCAAATGCAGGGTAAAGAGTGTAGATGGATATGTGAAAGTAAATGAAAGAAAAAAGAGAAACTGTCTCTGAAAGATGATGATGAATGAAAGGGTGAGTGAGTTAGAAATGACAGAGGAAGGAAAATTGAATGAGCCAGAAAGAAAAGAAGAAGAAGGAGGCAAGAGAAGTATAACAGTAACAATATAACAGGAAAATTGCTGCTCCATCATCAGTCCTGTGTTGTGGTACTTTCTGCACGTGGGTCCTGTGTACTTCTGGCCACACAGTACAATGGAGGAAGGGTTGTCCTCACACACAGGCCAAATGAGGACAAGGCAGCGTGTTTGCACATGTCAAACGCATACATATGTGTGCACTTCAAGTCCTGTTTTCATGGGAGGCAGTAAAAAAAAAAACGCCTAGTTATGCTTGAAATGGCACAAGCTATGACCTAATGCCACATCTAGTGAACCACTATAGACAGAGAGGGAACAGCTACTGAACCTCAGTCTGATATATATGCCTTTCAAATTAAAACCATATGAAAAGACTCTAATGGAACAGACCTGATCCAGATTACACAGAAACTGTGAAAGAAAAACAATTCACTGCAATTTGCAATTGGAGAAGCTATAGTTAGGGCAGGAGCACTAATTAAAGGAGCATGAATTCAGTTTTGTATGGAAAATTGGTGATGCACTTTTCTGCATATAAATTGAATATAATTCACTGTGACTAACCTGAAACAAAAATACTGAAGATTATAATAGTCCAAGATTCAGTCCTGCTTTAGGATGCTTGTGCATTGTGCAGATTTTTGTCATGTAACCCACAGTATGAAAGCATATACACAGAGAAACCACTGAGAAAAGTTAAGTATATATACACACACTCTTAGAGCCAAATCCGCCTAAGACTATAATTAAGTAGTCACATGTGTCGAAACAGACGCTTTACTCGAGAATAAATCTTGACTTAGTTATTCCTATCTGAGTTTCTACTCACAGATCATCAAAAATCTCCCATATCTCTGTCAGTGAATAATCTGTTGATGTGTGTAAGTGCGGTGGTGGAAAGTAACAAAGTACATTTACTCAAGTACTGTGCTTAATTAAGTATAATTTTGAGGTATCTGTACTTTACTTGAGTATTTTCACTCTCTGTTACTTCATACTTTGATTTCACCTAATTTTAGAGGCAAATTTTATCCTTTCTACTCCACTACATTTATTTCATATAACATTACTAGTTACTCTTCAGAACTGGATTAATACAAAAATTACAGTATAATCAGAAGACTTTATTGGTCTCTGGCAAAAAATTCACAAGCTACCCAGCAGTATGTAAAGTACTTCAAGCATATAAGCTGGTTAAAACTAGCTCTACCTGTATCAGCTGCAACATTTAATGTGATGAACACAATAATGCATTAGTAATTATAGTTCAATAATATGCTAAACATTAATGGTTAATGTGGCATTCTGTATAATGAGTACTTTTATTTTTAGTACTTTAAGTATGTTTTACTTTAAGTAACATTTTGAATGCAGGACCGTCACTTGTAACAGAGTATTATTACACTGTGGTATTGCTACTTTTACTTAAGTAAGGGATCTGAGTACTTATTTTACCAGTGTGCATGTGTCATCCAGTGTTTTACAAGTTCTTTTTTTGCATGTGTCAACCTGCGCAGATGCTTTAGATCTCTTACGGGTCTCAGTTACAGGAGCCCATGTAAAAGAACCTAACCCCTTTGTACTGTAGGAGAATGTTTAGAGAAGTGGCATTTCCCAAAAGCCTTTTTTAAAGTCATGCACTGCTCCAAAGGTATTTGGAAAATGGTTTAACCCAGGTGGTTGGCTGCAAATGATCCCCCACAGAAGGAAATTTCACTTAACAGGGATTTTGGTGATCTGTGCACAGTGTGTTCCAGCATAAATCATAAGATATATGATATAAGAAGAATATATTTCTAATGGATGCTTTGGCATTAAATGGGCTGGAAAGTATCAGATGTTTACCTTTTTGAAAATTTAAAATGAAAACTATAAAGACTAACAGACAAACTTTATAATATAGAGGACAAGAGTAACATTTAGAGAAAGACAGAAGAAACATGACAAGAATTAGAAGCCAGGGGAAGTAAATAGGAAGGGTGAAAACAGGAAGTCCAGTCACAGACACATGACTACTATAGCTACTTTGGTGCACACACAAACAAGCACACTCAGATACTGCAGTCCAGCAGAGAGGTGCAGAAGCATTAGATGGTTTTACTGCCCCCCCACTACTTTACAAGGTCTCTAAATATCATTGGTACTTTCCAACATGAGAATAAAAAATCTGTGGTAACACGTGCTTCCCTAGCAACAAATCTCATGCACGCCCTGTTTACCTTTACAAAAGGAACATAATACAAAAATATTGTTTGGTGCACTTCTCTTTAAAGATGGATCATTCAGAATTGTTAAAGACTTTATATTCAGCTTTGTTGTGCTTTGTGCTCTTCCTGTTGTAGATGTGGTAAATTTAACTGCAATATGAGAAAACACTTTGTTTCCAACTTCTTGCTTTGCTTTGTACTTAATATGGCCCCAGATGTCATCTGTTGTCTTTTTAATGTTCTTCTTTTTACATTTTCACCACTATCAACCTGAATGTATGATTTCAGAATTCACTTTTTCAAAGCTTTTCACACATATGTTTCATTATATTTATTATATTGGATGAAACATTAAATATCAAGCTCCCAGTACTTTACTTATATATTTTAGTTTCTATATTTGAACTCCTAAGAAATATAATGACTTTACTTATATACAGTAACACTGCATGAATCTATGTTCATGTGATGTGATGGGATGTTTCCATATCTTTAACTTGTAATATAACAAGTATGTTAATTTCTCTTTGTGCAGCAAATCCAAAATTTACCTCAAATTTTTAAACACTACAAAGCTGAACAACCACAACTCAGTGGGATTCGCTCTCCAGATGGAACGTCCCATGCCACTATTCACAGAAACCACTGTAATGAAGCCAAGAGCCCTTGGTGCACTATTCACGGCTGTTCTAATATTAAGTATATTTATTCAGCCCGCAATCTTGAGTCAGACCAACCTTTCAGGGTACACTGATGTGGTTGATGGAACTACAGAGCAGCAGTTATGACATTTCTGATTATAGCACTGCCGACATGCATCCTTCACATTCTGCATTTGCCACATGCCAAACCAAACTGGTACAGTACAAGGACCACACAGATGAGTGTGTGTGTGTATGCGTGTGTGCACCGGAGAGCTAAGTAAGTGTGCAGCCAGGCAGGCGGATCTCATAAAGCTGTTGGGGTAAACTTCTCTTTCTGTTCCCAACATTCACATTAAAAGGCTGTAAATTCTCCTCCTGGGGGATCTGTTCCATTTTTGTCAAACCAGATGTAGAATAGGAAAGGATGGGAACGCATACACCAGAAGCAGTTTAAGTGGCACATGCCAGTGTTAATACCTAAAGTAAAAGAAAGCATTACATTTTACAATATACTTAGGCAGCTTGCAGACAATGAATACAGATGCATATATTGATTTGGTTACATCTGTGCCGTAGGTCTAAACAAGATCTCCAGACTTAAGTAAATTATTTC